GTAGGTAATGTAATGGTTAACAAGTCACGACTCGAAGTATTCGGAATTAGTGAAAATGAATGTTCCCGCAGCTGTGAAAACATCCATGACCTTTGCGAGACGTAATTCGTTTGTTACAAGTGTTCATCACCGCTCAATTTAGCGAAAGGTAAACTTGTAATTTCACTCAGAAAATGCCCAGCTTTTTTCTCTGAGAAAAATTCATCAAACAGTTGTGAAAACTGCATGGTAGTGATGTTATTAGGATCTTAATTATCCCGACTGTCAAGTCATTCTTGGTATTTATCCACCCAACTTTTCCATCAAGATGCGGAATTCCATTGGATGAGTCCGATTCGAATGATAAAATTAAGGACGAACCTGATGTGCGCCCATGACCACACCTAGTGATAAGTCTGAAGCGCCGACAACTTCTGCCAACCTGGCCATCTGCGTATTATTCATCCCTGCTCCTTCAAATTCTTCAGGAACCAGAGCACCGAACGCGCCCAGTTCGGCAAGCTTCGATAAAACGTCCTTTGGGATTGTTTCCTGCTCGTCATTCCTGAACTCTTCTATTTAATTTTTCGATAATAGCCCCAAAATACGAAGGGACTTGAAAAAAAGACCCGATTTCATTTTTGACCAAAACAAAAAACTTCCTTTACATGCATTTTACCTCACCGAGTACTCAGCCAGTGTGTGACCATCGTTTCGACTTCTGAAGGTGTTTTTAGGAAGAATTCAAGGAGCACTTTTCCGAAATTTCAATTTTCTATCATTTGTAGTATTTTTGCGAGTTGTTGGGCTAAATTATATGGGACTTCTGCGATACAAAAAAATGAAAGGGAAACAAACTTAGCAGGATCGTTGATTTCCTCCAAGAATTTTTTAGTTGGGCCCATAATTAAACTGATCATCTCGCGCCTTTCATCCGTCAAATCGATCGGATAAGGTATCACGTGATCGGACACTGTTTTGCCAAGAAATATGTTTTTGACAAATGATGTTGAAAACTGCAAATCGAGAAAACAGCGAATTCCAAGTGACATATTACAAAAAAACTACCTA